GTCATTAATTATTCGTGGAAAGACGCACGTCAGCAATGATTTGCCGTGGCTCCTATTTACAATATATCGAACGAAATCCTACCGTAAGAGATGATGTAGGCTCCAAGTATGATGTTACAGGACTAAGCGTTGATCCCACTGAATATTCAACGGGACCTGCAAAACAACGAGATTAAGAAACGTTCATTTTACGTCTACGTTCGCCAGACCCATGTTCTTGCACGAGGAATGACTTCGGCTAACTCGATCTGCATACAGAACAGAATGTGTGGCATAGGCTTTGATACATTCCAAACCAATTGAAAAATTAAAAAAAAAATTACTCATAGAAAATTGATACAAAGAGCCAGGCTTTTGGAAGATGTCTATTGTTATCCACCTAGTAATTCACTAGCCAGTGTGGGAGCCTTGAGGAAACGTACTATTGTACCAAGCAATCTGACTGGAAGTGTTTTATCTGGGTAACAGCAATCGTAGTAAAAACAATCAACATGAGCGGATGGTCTGACGCAGTTAGGAAAGTGTTACTTTGCAATGTCCATGAAAGTATATCAAACATGAGCTTACAGGTGATGTTTCCTTCCAGTTTGAAGAGTAGACAATCTTCTTTGCTGTCAGGAGGAGGCTGGGAGCAGCTTACTCCCAGATTTATTATTCTTCCCCACAAAATGGCGATTGGATCAACCACCTGTTGGTTAGGAAACGAAACAAAAGCTAAAGTACATGTAACAGAGTGAATTTCGCAACTCATTGGCTTTTAGATAGGGTTTCATATCGAGAGCTCTGATTGGCCTTCTCATAATAATGTAAAAAATCTGAAAATTAATGTTATTCGTAGTTCGTGGTTATCACAAATCCAATAGTCATATTAATCCTCTCATCGTATGCAATGGACAAAGCAAATTGATTCTTTGTGTGGAGACTCAGTAGACTAAAACAGTGGCCTTTTTTAATTCAAATTATACAGTTCTTTTAATCAGTCATATTAACCAACTACAGATAATAATTACCGCCTGACTTTCAAAACTTATATGGCGGGTGAGATACTAACGGTTACATTATAACTGACATCTGGGAGTACGGTCTTAAATGATTGGAAGAAAAACAAAAACAGTAGCTTCTCTCTAAACTGGAAGACTTCGAGATCAGAAAGATCTCTCCTAAATAAGAAGAAGAAGAAGAAGAAGAAGGAGAAGAAGAGAAAGAAGAAAAAGAAGAATAAGAATAAGAATAAGAGCAAGAAGAAGAAGAAGAAGAAGAAGAAGAAGAAGAAGAAGAAGAAGAAGAATCTAATGGGATAACTCAAATGGTTATGGTTAAGGAAAGTTGACTGAACATTTTTTAATCACCTTTACATAGTAAGCCTTACTCTTGTTACTCCATCCAAGGACAAATATTTCCTTTGTTCTATTAGTAAGATTGTCAACAGGAGTCTTCTCCCCATGACATCCAATAACCCACGAAGAACTAGTGTTTAAGACACAGGAGGCCTCCTCGTTGTACAACGTTGTTTTTCTTCCCCAACTCGGCTGAGTGCTCAGCGTGTATAACTCATGCCACTCTCTTTCATAATGAAATAAGGTGTTGTTTGCACATCCTGTTCGTAATAGAAAATCAGAGGAAAGGAACGTTAACTCCATGTTCATGCAACTCATTGGGAAGGTGTTTGAATACAATGGGATCACTACACAGTTACTTTAACCCAGCTAAAATTGTAACAATATTGGAGGGATATTGTTGATGAGAAGAGAGCTTTAGTGACTCCTCGGCTTTTAAGATGGCCGATTAGCAAAGATAACTTTATTCCACCAAAGCGAGGTCATGACGTAGGCGTCACGCGTAACGTAATACACATTGTAACAAAAATAACTGGATTCCCACTCAGAATGCTCAACTACAAATCCATATATTAAGGGGACGAGGGATCGGGGATGCACTCGACTTTGCCTTTGATGGTTGTGGTAAAAAAAAGTCAGAGATAACTTTAATTTAATTTAAGCCACGTCTGATTGTCTAACCCTTTCACTGCCGTGAGTGACCACGAAAGGATAACTCACTGATAACAATTTACTTTAGGTATAACAAGAGAGAAAAATAAGGGGATACATGTATAAAGTTTGATTCAAAACCGCATTCTTAAAACTTAATTATAAGAAATGTTTGGTATACAGTATGGAGAATCTAAAAATAGCTGTTGAGAGGAAAAAGGTTAAAAGAGCTACATATAACGGCTTGTGCATCGCAAGTTTAACCCGATTTGGTAAGGTTCGTCATTCTTCCTCCGTTTAAATTTCCTCCGTCTTTCTTTTTGGTGTGGTTTTTTTTGTTGTTGTTTAAATACCCTAGCAAATCACTATTCTGTGTCTTAGATGAGTTTTCAAGGGAGTTTTTATATTCTGTACAACTACTAAACATACCGTGACAAACATTAAAATGTATAACTTTGCGATAAATCCAATTCAAGTTGCTCTTTAAAGAAATAATTCGAAAGGATAAAGGTCACATCCTTTGCAGTTTCATACATCTGTTGAATATGGAAATATTTTTCAGCTCCAAATGTTGCACGACGTAGTTACAGTCGCTTTTCTTTAAAATTGATGAACAAAAGTGTTCGTTAAAAGGAAACAAAATGTAACACCGGCGAACGG